GTAAACAACGTTCCATTCTAAAAAAGTTGTATTCTTAGGAGGACAATCCCTCACCGACAGACTCACCGATTTTGATGCCCTTTGGATATATTGTAATACTAGCTGAGTGTAGCAAAAGTGAAGAAGGAATTGATTCCATTGCCTCATTTGCGCCCGCCACACCCACTCAAATAGGAATCATATGCAGAACTGTTCGCATTAAAAAATTTACCAAAAATTCACTTTTTATGATATTATGATAATTTTGCACTTTTTAAATCCCAGTTTTATCGTATCCGACATGAATTTCAATTTTTTTAAATTTTTTGAATGTTGTCGAAAATTTCCTGACAAGGGGAATGCCTTCGAAAAAATAAAAATTTCAAAAAAGATGAGCTTGCTATTGGATATGATAAAGCAATTAAGATTACAAAAATGCTTAAATTGTGAAAATCCGATCAAAATAGGATTTTTTGGTGATTTTTTAATGAACCAAAAGAAGGAATATTTACACCATTGAATGGGTGGGGCGCAAATGGGGCCATGGTATGAAATCCTTTCTCACTTTTGTTAGACTCACCTAGTACTCAAGGGCATCGAGATCGGTGAGGGGTCGTCCTCTTGTCTTCCTCAGTGAGGCTCGGGTTATCACTCTCGAAGCAAGGTCATTATAAATCATTGAATTATTTTAAAATTATTGCAATTAAATGTACTTATTAAATTACAAATTTTTGAATGAAATTAACAGGAGTAAATATTAACACAAGGTAATAATTGTCTAAGCTCAATGAATTCGTCTAAATTGCACATAAAATGACGTTCCTGATCTCCTTATTCATACTTATTTTTATTTTCCTTCAGCTTTTGATTAATTTTATAAACCCAAATGTGAGAATAGATACAGTATGTAACAAAAGTATAGCTACGATGACATATTTTTTATCTCGACATGATGCCGTAATATTTCAACTTTGAAACTCCGTACAAAAATGTCAAAACTATTTGCCGACAATTTCCTCGTCGCCGATTTTTAATGTCGCAGATAGGTCAAAGGTCAGGATTATTTTTCTAAAAAAATTTGAGGCGTCGAAAAAAAACTTCGTGGATAATTTTTTTGAAATCCGGTCCCTCTATATGCAAACGTATATTTCAGTTTTTTAATTTTCGCCAAGGCGGCGATTTTAGACCTCCAACCTGTCCTGGGCGAAAAATTCCTGTGGGCGCCAAAAAAATCGTACACGGTCCGACCAAAGCTCATTATTCTTCAAAACGCATGCCGCATCCAGTAAAAAATATTGCAAAGTTCAAAAAAAATTATCCACGAAGTTTTTTTTTCGACGCCTCAAATTTTTTTAGAAAAATAATCCTGGCCATTGACCTATCTGCGACATTAAAAATCGGCGACGAGGAAATTGTCGGCAAATAGTTTTGACATTTTTGTACGGAGTTTCAAAGTTGAAATATTACGGCATCATGTCGAGATAAAAAATATGTCATCGTAGCTATACTTTTGTTACATACTGTATGTATATAGTTTGGAGAGTAGTGATGCAAATATGCTGTTCCTGAAAATGTATTTAATATTTGTGGTTTCATCAAGCCTCACTAGGAATTCAATTAACTTTGGAACTTGTGTATAAATTTGTAATTGCTACATTTTCGGTTTTTGGCATATGAAAGTTGTTAAAGATAACTTTTTTCAGGTCTAGCATACTGATTTATTCTTATACCATCATAATCGTCAAAATCAAAAAATTAAAAGTCGTGGCCCCAGATAAAACTGTTTAATTTATTTCTGTAAGGTTCTGCAATTAACTGGATCCAAATAGTCTTGAAAAAACACGGCGAGATATTCCTGTTTCATTTCTTTATGGAGGAGAAAGTAGTGCATTTATGGGCAACAGTGCTTGGAAATGACAAAACCGCTGAGAAACACTGGTATCAACTGAATATAAAGAATCACAACGCAAATCCAAGAAAGGTACGTAAGCCTCAAAAAATTTATCTATCTGTAAAAACGAGGTAAACTCCACCGATTTTCTAATAATATACTCAAACGACAAATCACAATTGCATTCACTCATACGATCTATCACTATTTAGATGGATCAATCTTATACAATGCCGGTCTTGCCGTATCACGGTCATTCGAAATTTGACAGGGTGAATGTGTCCAAAAACTGTGTCAGCCTTTCCCCCTCCGTTGTGAGCAAATTTGGACTAGCGAAAGTGATTGATGAAGTTGTCAACGGGTTTACCTTACCATTAACGTTTGGAATAGTTTAACCTCTTGGCTACCAAAGTACACACATTTGTGTAGTATTGTATTTCCCGTTGACGACCAACTACACAAATATGTGTACTGCATAAATTTCCTTGACACCAAAATTTCGTTATAAAAGAATATTTCTTCGGTATTTTGTGGAAAACTATTTAGATGGTGAAAAGTGGATTTTGTGCGATATTTTTCTCCCAAAATTCTGGAATTTTTCCTTTACCAACCAATGTTAAAAAGTGGATTTTCGTGTTTTTCGTCAAAAAACCCGAAAATTCGAAACTTTTTTGAAAATTTAATTCGTTGCTATCAGGTATAACTGTGAAATCAACATGGTGCTTATTTCTAGCTCATATTAAGTTACGTAATTTAGTTAAACTATGTATATATGTAAAAACATGTATCAGTGTCATCTTTGTTGCTTTAGGAAATAAGTTATAAATATATTATTAAAATTTAACTTACTGTTAATAATAAACTCTGTGCGGTGGCAAAAAGGAGATGGGCGATCCATGAAAAGGTCAATTTTAAACTCAATCACCACAAACAATGCAGAAAATTAGGGATTTCGGTGGAACTAGATTTCGGACTTGCGGAGGAAACACGGTTATTTGGTTGGGAGCGCGGAGGGCTACACTAAATATTATTTAACACCACTTTATTTTTGTTTTGACGTACAACTTATACAAAATTGAATGACTTTTACGTCAAAATAGAAATAAACTGGTGTTAAATAATATTTTATTACTGTGGCCCTGCGCAGCGCGATCGCCAAATCACGCCTCTTCTTCTTCGCTCCCCGAAATCTAGTTCCACCGAAATCCCTTGTTTTCTGCAGTGTTTGTGGTGATTGAGTTTTTAAAAAATGGCACACATACATATGTATTGTACACCTTGTTAATCTTAAATTCCCAGGACAATAAACCCAATCCCTCATTAAATTCGACTAAATCGTTATCAACTTATCATGCACACAAGCAAACAAAAGTATTCAAATTAATCAGTTTCACCCTTAATAACAGGTCACAGAGGTGAAATATCGAAAAATTTTATGGGAAAAATAATTTTCTATTATTTTTTTCTAAATACTGGCAAAGTTTAAAAGTTTTTTTGTTACGTTGTATGTAGGTGACCTTTTCATGGATCGCCCATCTCCTTTTTGCCACCGCACAGAGTTTATTATTAACAGTACACTTGTCAAGCAACATTATTTTTTAGAGTGTACGTACATAGGTATATGTCTGTATTACAATGATGCTAGATTTGCATATACGTATTTGTCACTAACCTACATAGATTATTATATTTTAGTAAATAACATTCGCTACTATTTTTCAAAGGTAATTTTATCCAGAATTTTATCATTGTTTCCTCAATTTTATGTCAGTACGGATCAAACTTTGTGAATACAGATAAAGCAGCCTATATGTTTGCATATGTAATCTTCTAGGAAGGCATTTTTTCCATAGTGCCAACCCGTGTGAAGTAAAATATGAAGACAAAGTCCAAAAGAAAGACCAATTCCCCAAAAAATGATGAATTTGGCAACGCATGTCTAGCATTGGTCAATGTTCCGATCCCGTCATTTTGGAGGGTACTGTAAACCAGGGGGTTTATCTTAAATCATGCATTAAAGGGGGATTGGAATCGTTTATTACCAAAGATCATAAAAACATAAAGTTTTGTTTTGGCCTGACCTCGTAAGGTCCCATGGCGCCAAAAAGGTCACTCAGTACCGACATCTGAAAAAAATTGAATTTGTGCCAAAAAATGAAAACCCACCAAATTTTCCTCAACTGCGACCAAATGAGAAATTCTGAGAGCCGACTATGTCCAACTATTCTAAGCTTTCAGAAACGCTAGACACCTTACGAAAATTGAAGAACAGATGGAAGAGAATCAGCTTGAAAGTAGGTGCAGTCTATGGGCGGATTTTGATGCGAAATCTGAAGAAGAAAATACAATCTGTAGCAGATAGCGGAATTGAATCATTACTATTTAAACTGTGTGGCAATCCAGACCCTTTGGTAGTAAACATATGCAACTTTTTTGAAATTGCATTAACTGTGTGTAAAGTTATGAGCATTTTATTACGTGAGTGTCATACTATCGTGACCGATCCTTATATGGATCTTAAAGAAGTTGGATATGGACTTGTCTTTAATCTGCACGAATGTTCGACAAAATTTTATTGGAATTCAGGCTTATCGTCAACTTGAAATAATCAATCAGGTTTTTAACACAATTGTCTGGTATTTTTTACCAATTTTCACCTTCATCATAGTAGTTGTTGCTGCCTTAATGGGATATATGATCATAAAAATGGCGGGGTCAATACCACATACACTGCTTATCTTGGAGATACTGCTAAGTGCAGTAATCTTTGGGGGTGTTCTGATAGAATATCCTTTAATGGCGGATGTGATGGAGAAATCGTCTAATTTTCTAAGGATTTTAGACTTGCAAGGGGGATCTATACACATAAAAAACAGTTGCGTAGCTGCAGACCCATCAAGATTTGGGCTGGTTCGTACTTTTACATTCATAAAGGCACAGGCATTAGGTTACTTGACTTGATTTCGTATTACACAATGTCCTCGATAATTTCTGTATGATATGTGTTATGCACACTATGTAAATTTGTAACACAAGCAACAAGATCAATAAAAAAATTTAAGCTGATCTTGCTTGGACGACAACGATAATAATGGTAAGGCAGATATTTTCTATTAATTACTAAATCCAGAGTAAGTTTTAATCTTTATCAGTACTGTTTATGTTGTGTAGATTATTTTATAGAACGTTAAGATCATTTGCTACTCAAATGTTCACCATTATTTTTAATACTGTAAAGTTAAGGGTGATACGTATTACGTTATTTGCCTCGCATGAAACGCTGCTTATGTACGTAGCTTAAGTCTAGTTTTTCATAATTAGTCCTAACCAGAGGTGAGCTGGATATCCATTTTTTGGATAATGCATGGCCCGATCCAATCCAACTGGATTTGGATGGAACGGATCTGAAATTTTTTGGGTGAAATGGATTTGGAAGGATTGGATCTCAAGAAATGACGATCCAGATCACCTCTAGTCCTAACTCAAAAGTTCTTGAGTTTTTTAGAATTTTTCAGTAGTAATGAAATTCCAAAGACGAGGGTTTTAATAAAGAATTATACATAGCTCAATTCCGCTTAATACATATCGAAGTACAGGTGACAAACATACATACATAGATACTAATTAATTAATTGCATTAATACTGGCAAATATAGCTAATGAATAAGTTTCTTGAGTCTTAGCTCCTACAATTTTAGGCAAAGCCGAATTCTTGCCGACATTATGACAAACCTAGCAATGACAAATTATTCAAATATTAGCAAAACCGTAAATTGAAGATTCTCTAAATAATAAATACTGATTAGAACTTACATGTTTAAACAATAAATAATTTTCAAGTGTTATTTAAGCCTTATTCCAATACAAATTAAATACTTACTTGTCGGCTGACGTTCACATTTTTGGGTTGTCAAATAAATAATTGTGTCAACTACTATAATTATGGTACTTTACTTTATACTATTACTGAAATAAGTTGGGATTAACTTTAATAGCGGAAAATTCTGGTCGCTCATTAGGGTCCAAGTTCCAACAAGAAAGCATAATCTCGTATCTGAAATTTGAAAGTATTCGATAAAAAATTGTAAGTTTTGTTTCAAGGGGATGTCCATAAATTATGTCATGAGTGCGAGGAGTGGGACCATAAATAATTTGTCTAACAGCCCCATTTGGATCTATGGACGCATAATGCTATTTAAACACATGAGTAGGCGGGCACAATGGGTTGAATAATCGGAATTTTTGGGTAACCAAATTTATGGACGTTCCCTCATTATTTATTTTATGAAGTTCACATTATCTCAGAAGCGAGAACCGGCTGTGGTAACCTGATTCCGCCAACCAGGTCGTTAAGAAAACCGTCATTCCATTCTCTGTCTTCATATGGTTCATCACCTAGGCTGAACAGTTCCCAGAGCAGGATCCCGAACGCCCATACGTCCGAACTTTGCGAAAATGTTTTAGACGTGAAAGTTTCTGGTGAACGCCACTTCCATGGAATGGGTTCCTTGAATCAAGAAACATTTAATAATGGAGAGCCCCCAGGGTATACAGGCTCACCGATTTTGAAAAAAAAATTAGCGTGAACTGATTATAAATTTAATTACAAGGGCCGGACCATAAGTACGTATCTTGACCATGAAGGAATAATAAATCTGGTTATCCTTGACTTGGATCTGATAGCAAATTTGTAAGCTATTAAATCTGCGACACATATGTACATATGTATGAGGTTATCTTTCGCACAAAATAGAAAACTGTAGCAAAATCATCCAGTCCAGGTCCAGCTACGCATTTATGGCCCGGCCCTCGTAGTACGAAATTTGAAGAATATGATCTCCTAATAGTCTCACTTAGAAGAGATATTTGCATCCGAAGAGGAGAAAACAAACAGGAAATGTGTAAAGTATAAGATTTGTCAACTTTTGGGCACGTTGTCTGCTCTTCGAATGCAAATATGTATATCTTCCAAACTAGGAGATCGTGTTGTTTTGCAAATTTCATAGCTTTATAAAAATTGGAGGGAGATTTCCATGTTTAGAGTAAATACGTACGTACTTTAAAAATAATTAGTCATAAAGTACGTATCAAAGATTATGAATTATTTACATTAGTCGATTTCAGGTATATTCCACCATCATCAAGTTTGCGAGAAAATCCAAAATCGCTTATCTTTGCATCGAGATTGGAATCCAGGAGAATATTCCGCGCAGCCAAGTCGTTATGTACAATCTAAATATTTTATACATCAAATCTATTTAAGCACTGTATTGAGAAGTCAAACGTTTATATGTAGCAACGCAAACTAACGTTGCTCTTCGTAGTTAAATACTCCATCCCACCGGCAATTTGTCTCGCCCAGAGAAGGAGTTGGTTCCTGTTGACAACCCCGAATTGAGAATCGCTCAGCGTGTACCTTAATAAACAAGTTATTATTATTATTCTTCCCCATGAAAATTGTTCGCTTAAAATCGGATGAGAGTAATCTATAGAACCAAGAAATATCTTTAATTCCCGTGTTAAAGTAACTTTATCTCGGGATTATCGCAAATACGTGACTGTATACGATATGAATCATAATTACGCCGATCTCGACTAAATCTCGCGCAATCCTGCTTACAGATGGATGGAGAGACAAGAGACAACAGGCAGACAAAATAAATGCAGAAACTATGTAGCTTAAGCTAATTAATAACTAATTAATGCGTGATCTAACCCCTTGATTGCATCTGAATTCCAGACATCACCCTCATCACTGGTTTCGGTATCAGTATAATATTCAGCATTTGACGCCAGAAAATCACGAAGATTCCCGTTCTCACAAATTTCCATTACCATGTAAACCTCCCCTAGAAGAACATGTTATCATACATATGTATGTACACCCTTTATCGCTCGTAACTATTTATTTATCTGTCAGACCTTACGTTTCTTAATTCTCTCAGTACAGGCTCCATAAAATTTTAAAATATTTTCGTGATGTCCCAGATACGCCAATATTTTTACCTCGCACAGCAAAGCTTTAAATTCTGTGACCAGGTTTCCAATGTGCGTTTTGATGGCAACCTTTATATTTCCATCGTCCCTGTGGAGCCAGCCAGCGTATACGATTCCGAAAGAACCACGATTAATTTCATCTTCTGTTAGGACAAAAAGATGAGTTCAGGTATCGGGTATTTAGTATGTAAAGGGTCATGATCCAATAAAGTCGCTCCAGAGGTGACGATTATTTAGTGTAGTGCCTACCAATCTGCAACTGCTTCATCAAAATGTCAAATTCTTCGAGCCAAGGAAGTGTTTCAATCTGGCTGACGACATACTTGCTAACACTTCCGAGACGAGGTTTCCTAGTTTGCGCAGGTTTACACATTTTTAATTAATAAATCCGTGATGGAAATTGATTCAGGAAACGTTCATATATTTCGTTATCAAAGATGGGTGGGTGATTTTGCGTTGTCTAGTGTACGTTGAACATAAATAGGATAGAAAAGGGGTGAATGGGTCGTCTAAAAGTCGGCGTTTTTTGATGACGTAATATATTGACGTTCCCATAATGCAATTAATGAAATATTTGAACTCACACAGCAGTTTCTGGAACTGGTGTTACTCCACTTATAAAATCTCGTACTTCTTGTTTATTAAGGTCTCTTGTTTCACTCTGAAAAATGTGCGAAATTCAATGAAATCAAATCCGTGTCTTTAAATATGCTTTATATGTACCCTTAACTTCAGGACATGTCTCCTCCACAAAATTAAAATTCCGCAAATGCCAAGAACCGCGATGGAGGATACAATGCCAACAGAAGTGTAAACTAAAAATGCAAATGTACTCTCTTAGAAATCCAGTATTATTTTCCTGTATAATTTTAGTGGTAGGAGGTGTGTAACAAGTTTAACACCGAGAAATCAGTACCTCCTGAGTATACTAAGTAGATTCCAATAGTTGGGGTTTAATTAAACTTTGATACTTAACTATTTATAAGACGTCGGAATGAAGTGGGTTTCTCATGTTTTAAGGGGCTTATTTTAAACTGTTCACGCACAGAAATATATATGTATCTGTAATATCTGTAAATCAACCAGAATTTGTACCGTTTTTGAGTACCTGTGTTTTACATGTGACAGAATTGATTTTAAAATTAATTTCAGTTGAAATCAATATTTTTTTTAAATGCTATAACTTTTTGACTTTTGACCCGACTATAAAAATTTGAAGGCTTGGTGGTTCAATCCGAATTAGAAAATCTCGAGGAAGATCGGAGAAATTCAGAGAAACCCACTTCATGCCTACAAACCCACCGTTAGCTGTGGTACATACCCGTTAATCCATTCCCACTGGGGTCGACCACCCTGCAGTCTTCCACACCAGGAATGCATTCTCCGTTCTCACCGCAAGGAAAGGACCCTTCCTCACAGTAATTTAAGCGGTCGCAATAATCCGAGTTCAATATCAAATATTCCGACCAGTCGAGACAGGCGGGTTTTTCGCGACAAATCGCAGATAATGGGAAACAATCTCCATTTCTGCAGGTAAATTGGGCAGGTCCACATCTGTAATAACAAAAAAAACATACACAAATGGCGATGGACATAACGGAGCCGCATATGTATGTACACTCTAACCAACTTATCGTAACCCAGCGGAGTTATGATACTACTCTAGTTTCGCGTAATGATTAGGGAGAAGTTTTGTCACAAACGGGTAATAGCAAAAAGAAACTAGTGTACCAAACCACATGACGTGGTTATCTAAAAATTAAACAATTTCATTCAAAATATCTTCAAATGAAATCCTGATAATATGTTAAATTTTTGTCAAAAGCGACGTCATGTGTATTTAGTGTATAAGTTCCTGATTGGTGACGAAACGTTTGGCTAAGTAATCGTTACACAAAAATAGAGCAGTAGAGTACTTCCGCGGATTTGTCAGAGGTTATTTAGCGTCTATACATATGGTGCATTTAGGACGTGTATTAAAATACGTTATATGTATGATGACTCTGGTCTAAACGAGGCTAATAGACATTATGTATATAAATATATTTTGCAAAGTTGCAAAGTACCGTAAGTACTCTATTTAATGTCCTATATTAGGCTGTCTCCAAGCATAGCTGGTCTGGAGCCGAAGATTTCCAAATTTTAGCCGGGCCTCTAATTATTGCCAAGTTGTGACACTAAATTATGCCCCGGCAAAAAATAGAGCATTTATGGTTACCTAATCATACTTACCGTCGATTGTTCTCGATCCATTCCAAAGTCTGGCTGGATATGGGGTCAAAGTAGAACAGAATCCCGAAGCAGTAAGGTATTGGGATCCTACTGTAAAAATGTTTGATTAGGCCGTTTAAATAAAAAGATCCATTGATACGTCGTGCTGCTGCAACATCGCCAAGAATACAGGTTTGACTGTTTCCTAAAAAAATAAAACTTTTAACTATTCTTATTTAAGTAATTTTAGTAGTGATTTAATTCGCGCGAACACACAGTCGGGACGAATTAAATCAACACCCTTGATTTTATAAGCTTTATGTAAATATGTATGCATAAATTACTGTCAATTGCGGCACACCACACGTCCTTTCCTGCCGATGTGGTGTTACTCTCGTTAAAGTATTGAACCCACAGTTCGTCACATCTGGAGGATGAGAGCGTGGTTAAATTTAGAAACGGATTGTCTACCAAATCTGTGAATCCCGTGACAACGAGATCATCCTCTTCATCAAGCTCCAGATGGTCGGGGAGGCAAAGCGGTTCGACTCGACTTGATAACGTGACAGGTTTGGAGAAGTGAATTAGGGCAAAGTTGTTCTCATTTTGGTCATCCTCACCGTCAAAGTTGGGGTGAATACGGATATGTGTGATCTGAAGGGTATGCATTTTGTTCATTAGGGTTATGTAAGATTCCCTTATTAATCAATGCAGAGGTGTATGGAATCTTCTATTTTGTCCAAAATACATAACTTGAAGCTTTTCAAGCACAAAATAAGCGGGGATAAACACAAAGATATATATCGTTGGGGTTTACAGACTGTGTAAATACCTATGTGTGTTTTCACATCAGGTAGACTTTTTTAATGCATTTTCAAGCAAAACTATGATTTGTGAAAGCGCTGCCACTTTTCTAATTTGAACCCGATTTAAAAATTAGACACAATTTTGTCTGAACTTTCATTGGATAAACTTCAAAATGGTTTTCAGAAATTCGCTATACTTCTTGAAATTCGGTTTTCTTTCAGAAATGCAGTTGTAAAATTCTTAGTTTTCAAAAAAGTTTATGTTTCTTACATTTGTCAAAACTCAGAAAAGGAAGAAATTTTAAATTGAAAGGAAACGTCTCCCAGGAAGCAAAAACATCCTTAGAAGCTACATAATAGATGTACTAAAATTGATATCGGGGAAGGACGCCAAGAGGTGACTCCTGCATTATTAGGAGCCCCATTTTGGAGAGATATTAAATTACTTTGGCAAAATTGCAACTTGCGCTTCTGGTGAACAGCCAATAAATAAATAAATCCACTTACATTGATCGGGATAATGCCGTTTTCGTTGTCATCGTCTGGTGTGAAGGGATCGCCCAGATTGGAGGTCCCTACCGTGGCATGGTACCGATTATAGGGAAATATGTGGAACTTGTTGCCTCCTTCATGTATTGATTCACGTGCTCGGGTAATTGCCATGCTGGGCGAGATAAGAACTCCCGGGTAAGTCATGCTCACAATGTCGTTATTTTTCACGAGGATGTGGACATGCCACGGGACACCAACACCGTGCCTGGTAGGATGATCCGATAGACCGAAGGGGGTCCCTTGTACGCCATACAGCGCTATGGTTAGGAAGCTTGATATATGAAAAGTTTCCATATTTTTACAGCTTTTTGTGGTCGTAATTTTATAAAAATTGCGGTGTTTAGCGTACCATGGAGTATTCGACAGTGAAATAATTATGCCATGATTGTGCTCTAACATTCACAATAGATAAATTTATCTTGGCGTGACAACTACAAAAATTAAAATGTTTGATAAACATGATTTATAATTGCATAGTTTCACAATCTCGTTTCCTGCGATTTAATATAATGTCAATGTGTAAAGACGTCAAGTATGCATTGTTGTTGTTGAAGGGAGTTATAATTTACAAGTTATGTAAATATTAAACATTGGTTTTGACAGTTTTATTGTGCTGAGAGCAAACGAGTAAAGTACTAATTCACTCATGTTTGCATAATCCGAGATGATAAGATTGTACAGATTATCTGAGGATTTAGAGAATTAACAGTAAGCTAGCTTAGAGAATGATATGATTTACACAGATTAATTTCAGTACGTCTCATCCTCAGAGAACAATATACGTATCTGGTTACATGGGTGTATGCATGTAGAAAGAAATTTAGTGTTATACTAAAACACTACATAGTAGTTGTTAATGACTAAAAAACGAGTAATAAACTTATCGGGCAATTATATAATCCAATATATCCAATATATCTGTCATTATCCAATATATCAGTCCTACACTCAAATCATAATTAAGGAATATTCAAATTCGTGTAATCCCGTGTAAAACCAGTAGTCTCGTTAAAGGTTCCCTCCTAAGTCCCCACTAGGTTAATGCATATACATCAACAGCTACGTATTAATTTCAAAATAAGGAATATTTTATAACTTTACCCTAAAGAATACAAATTTTCAGAAACAATAACCTGGTAATGTATAGACATGATCTTTGCTGCCCAGAACTTATCGAAGGGGCTATTCAATCATGTTAAGTAACAGATATAAAAACTTTAAATCACACTTTTTATACCGAAATTATTGAAGACATAGTATAATACGCAATCAACTCAAGTAACTTAGCAACTGTGCCGTCATGAATATAAAAGTATGAACCGGCCCTAATCTTAAGTGGTCTGCAACTGTACAGCTGTCTTTTCCTGTACATGGAACCACCTTGTAATTCTAAGCTCCTTAAAAAATCAGCGGACTTCCTCAATACATCTGCACATAAGGGATAGGATCTCTAAAATAACCAGAGAGTGAGGTACACTACCAGTCATTTTTATGATCATATGTCCCATCACAACCGCTAGTATCACAATTGTTAAAGTGAAAACAGGTAAAAAGCACGATGTAATTGTGTTCACAACCTGAATGATTATATGAAATTGACGATATGTCTGCATTCCGATAACAAACTTGCAAATATTCCATCGTTTTCTCCGCGTATCTAATGTTTCCAGAATCAATACGATTATATTAACACCTATAATTCCAAGCCCAAATATAAGTATTGAGGCATGAAGTTCCATGTGTGGTAATAATAGCGCTGATAAATCCGTGGAGAAAAATACCAGTCAGACTAGATGATTCTTTGGAAGTTGCTGTAAATTACAAAAATATGTATTCACATTTGCAAACAGCTTACATATTTTAAATTAAACCAGCCTGGATAGTTTCGCGATCATACAAAAAATATCTTCGCTTCAGCTTTGAGCAATTTATAAATATGCATTTATCTATTATTGATTTATTAAAAATGTAAAAATAAATCTTTACTAACTATACATTTTATCTAAAATTCGCTACTGCAGATTATTTTATCAGTTTACCATATTGGGTGAATATTCAGTAATTGACACAATTAATCCTTGATTATTCATAGGAACTAAATGGAGTGAAATTTATTCAATGTTCCTGCATTCAAAGATTTTTAAAAAATATTCGATACTAGTTCGTTTGTTTAGAAAAATGGTACTTCACCCAACCAATTAATGAATGTGAACCTTTGTCTTCCCGACCCTTGAATTCTATGGTAGTAATTTAGAAAATTCAATTACCTCTCATTGTGCACAGATTTCTAATCACGAAGCACAGTTCATCAGTACAGAAGTGATACGTGTAGGAAATCGCTGTCGAAATTTTGGCAGCGGCACATGATATTACCAAGAGGAGGCACAGTGCAACCGAAATGTTGACATCTTTCTCGCGTGAGAGCAATTGTTTTACAAGAACGAGGTAAAAACTCGTTGCAATAATGACCACGAGAAAGGAAGATACATACCACGGGGCTAGTTTTAATCTTCCAGTGGGAGAGGGTTCCCATGAGGTCCTGTTAAAAGTTACTGGCTGGGGGTATAAAGATTCACTTAATTTTGCAAAACGTTTCAATGCCTCGAATGGAGTGAGCGTCTTAACCTTTTAAAGCGTATGGGGGCTCTTTGGCCTCCTTGGAAACATTGCGTTGCTGCTGGAGGAAGTCTTTTAGTCTCCTAAAATTTTCTGGCTTATTGCGGGAGGAGGTCAATAAACATCCACGAATTTGTAGCTATGGTGCGGGTGGAGGTCTTTTAGCCTCCAAGCAAATTTTTTCTCCACTGCGGGAGGAGGTCAATAGACCTCGTTAAAAATATTTTTTTCGCTCTTCATAACCCATGATAGTATTTTAAATCATAAAATAATTGCTAGTTATTTGATCAAATTTGCACAAAAAAACACTCGAATACAAAATTGTGAACGTGTTGAATTTTCTATACCATCACATTGCAAATAATTTAAATGAGCAAAAATTTATTTTAAAATACTCAAAAAACCCTTCCCACAGTAACCGTCTATTTAGCATCCCTCCTTTCACGAAATTAGATTTTCTCTTTGGTAAAATGCATATATGCAAGGGTATCAATTTGCCCCAAATTCGAAATTGGGTGAATATTGTAGTCCACACATTTATCTAGTAGAATCCGAAAACCAGAAGTCGATATCTCTATCCGTTCCAAAATGAGGTCAAATACCACCAAGCAACTCGCAACCATCGTCTGCCACTACCTCGAAAAAGTGGTTACGCGCTCCAAGAAATTGAGCTGTGTTCACTTTAAAAAATAAGAAATTCCAAAAGTGACGATTTATTGTGTTATACTAAGGTATGAGCTGCAAAAAACGACTAATCGCAAAAAATATCTGGTCGGTACATTCGTGTGGCAGCCCCGAAAGTAATAAACTTCGTGTAGATAGAAATTTGTTATGTCGGAGCGAAATTCGCTGAAGTACTTGAAGTTCTCACCGAACACCATACATTATTTGAAAGCTTAGAAGTTGGACATCAAATCCTAGAAGGTTCTAGAAGCTTATAAATATAGTCAAGAGTAAAATAAAAGTAGCAAGCAGGAGGGCAGAAAAAATCCTTGACCTGAAGTAATTAAAATTAACCAAAATTGATCGTCCTGTGCAAGACGATTTACTGCTCAGATTATCAAAATGCTTTTATTTGCACATAATACAACTCTCCCACCTTCAAGAAAACCATTTATGCAAAACTGGAAATTAAATATAAGCCAAAGTATCACGCTCCGCCTTAAAACGGATCAAATGCAATTAACATGATAGAGGTGAACAACGTTCCCAAATTTGCCAAATACAAGACCTATTGAAAAATTTTAGTTCCTATCCTAGAAAAAATATTGTAATCGAAAAACTGCAGTCAAAAATTTGAACTTATTTCAACACATGTGGTCAAAAATCTCAAAAAAGGTGACCAAAAACAGTGGCGAAGCACTAATTGTGAGCGCCCAACAAAAACGTCTCCAAATTTGGCGGAAGGGGTGTACGGACCATTGGAAGCAAAACTTAATTAGCTTTAACCTTTGTCCCTTTCTGACCAAAATTTCGCTTTAAAAAATTCATTCGTTGAGTTTATATGTGCATTTGACCAAAGTTGCATTACTTCCGGAACACCCTCTATAACGGTGACATCTAGTTTTGATGTCATGCTAAATAGATGCGAAATTCCAATTAGGAATGTATAAAATACATAAAAATGTAAATACTTAGTAGCGAAATACTTAAATTGATTTATGAAAATTCCGGCAAATTATAAATCAGTAACGTGACGTAAAGGGTCGTACGTGATTGAGGGCCAAAAGTTTAACACATTTACTAGTTAAATAAATCCTAGTTAATTATTAAACTAATTATGATATCATTGTTTGAGTTTCTCTGGAAATTATTGCATTTATTATTGAACAAATTTAAGTAAGACATATATTACAAAGTCGGTGGGCGGCCTTCCGACTTTGTAAGATTTGTACGGCCCCGACGCTCCGAGGGCCGGGGGCCGTCGCCTAGCGGGGGCCGATACGTGAGACGTACCCTGCGTACCCCTAGTTCCGCCAGTTTATAGGGCCGCAAGAACGTACCTGCTACGGAAGTGCGTACGTTGTCGTTAGTCATGGTAGATATAGAGTAGCCAAAGCCGTTCATAATTTAGCGTCCAGCGTGGCAAAAGTGTCTCTCGCCAGCGGCTATGGAAAAGTGAAATGATGACGGTGGTGGATGCGTTATGCACGCTACTGACCATGGAAAAAGGGCGATGTTGGTGATGGTAATGCATATTGATGGCTACAAAAGAGTGAAAGGGGTGACGGTGATGTGTTGGCATGGTTACCAGACATTTTTGTTTATTTAATAAAACATGTTAAACATGATTTTTTTTGCTAAAATAAAAATGGGGAAACACAAAAACGCAATTCAAACATTTATATTATTTATTTTCAAAAAAACTTTTCAATAATAATATGTAGAAATTCTGAAAAATGCCCGACAAAATTATGAAAAATTTATAAAAAAATTTTGAAGCAAAAAATCTGATAATAATTCTGGAAATTTTGAAAAAACATTTTTCTGTTGTATGCGTCCAAGCTGCTCGTCACTGTCATAATAATAAATTCACGGGCTCGAGGCTTATTGCAACCATTGCATGAATTTTTCTCGCCAGTAGGTGCTTCTAAACTCGTAGTAGGGGGGACGCGTTTTCGAATTCGACCCCCTATTGGGCCACGAACCTCGACCTGATTAGTGACGCTGAGTGTCGAAAAAATCACCACCAGGTGATCTACATGTTTTTAGTTCGATATTTTGTCCCGACAAA